TAAAGAAAAGCATTCTTGTAAGACAAACTTATAATTATGGAACACATTTACATCAGATAGAGAGTTAATTGATTGCCTGATAACAGTAGATGTAATTCATATGTAAATTTAGACAAGATGTTTTAAATTGGAATTAAACACGTGTAAGTTGAAGAGGTTACCTATTGTCTCTTGCACTAACTTTTTTATTTCTAATATTAAAGAAAGAAAGACCCATACCTTATATTGTGAAGTGAATATGTGTAGTTTGTCACAACTATACACCTGCAACTTCTTTAACTTGGGCCATTCTGAAGTGTGTGTTCCAGGGTAAAAAGTTGTAAGTTCTAGCAAGTTTCCAAGTTTAAGGAATTCTACCCGTGGAAAGATAAATGTGGGAAGTGCTTCTGCTCCTTCTTTGGCAACAATCTCCTTCAACTCCTGACAAGACCTTATCTCAATGTGTTGGAGCTGCTTAAAGCTTTTAACCATAGAAGATGGAAATAGATATTTCAGTTTTCCAATGTCACTAATGATCAAGCGTGTCAAATTGTGATAGCAATCAGACATTGGCGGAAGTTGACTGTCCCATATCATTTGAGAATTGATTGCTTGCAGATTAACATGTTCCAAATTTGGAAAAACAACCTGCATCCAAAGTAAATTGTTTCAATATATTCTCAACTGATTAAGTAAAAGAAGTAACAATTGTTTCTCATAAATATATGTATTCCATCTTTTATTAATTTTGAGCGACATCCTAGCCTCTTCAACTTATACGGGTATGTTTTCTCCAAAATCTGCGTTCCAAATTCCAATTCACTTAACAAACAGAAGACAATTGTTTTTCCTTTGTTTACATATCTGCCATTAGTTTTTGTCATGCATATTGATTTGCACAACAAACACGTATTTCTTCTACTCGTACTAGAAGAGATTGTTAATTTCACTCAGACAATATTGCATACACTTACACTTATTTTTATTTATAGAATTATTATTTATATTTTAGAAAAAATTAATTTATTCAGCCTCAAAAAGAATTTTAAAAAATTTTATCAAATATATTTTAATTTTCTTGGACAGTGCAGTATATAATCCCTACTAAACTTAATTCACAAATGAGAACTTAACTTTTCGGTCAAGTTCCACGATTTTAATCAACTTCCTCTTAAACTTTTAAGAAATCTAACAAGTTATCCCCAAATTAAAAATGACGCTAACTGATCTAATTAAATGTTGAGTTACGGACGAAGCAAAAGTCTATTAGGCCTTTCTTTTGTCCTTTTCCAGGCTTCTTGAATAACCTTTCTCCACCCTAACTTTAAAAATTTTACATTTGTCGCCCCTTATTTCACAAATATGGTATTCATCCAACCTATAAAAGGACAAAAAAGGGCTAATGGGCTTTTTCTTCCTTCTTAACTCAAGAATTAACAAATCTGTTAACGTTGTCTGTGAAATGGGGATAACTTGATGGATTTTTTAGTACTTTGGGGGAAGGTTGATTAAAATCATGAAGCATGACCGAAGAGTTGGCTTTTCCGGGAATGAAGGGTGGGTAATTGATTTTTTCTTCATTTACAAATACTTGCTTTCATCCGTCTCTTTGTTGAAGTAAAGAAACTATGACACGAACCATGGCTCATATATATGCTCATCTTTAATTCAATCATCTAAAATATGGAAAAGGAAAATTACCCTGAAAAGTGATAATTTTGTAAATAAATGCATTCTTATAAGACAAACATATAATTTTGGAACACATTTGCATCAGATAGAAAGTTAGTTAATTTCCTGATAACAGTTAATGTAATTCATATGTAAATATAGACAATTGGAATTAAAAACGTGCGCAAGTTGAAGAGGTTACCTATTGTCTCTTGCACTAACTTTTTTATTTCTATTATTAAATCAAGAAGAAGGACCCATACCTTATATTCTGAAGTGCATATGTGTAGCTTGTGACAATTAGACACCACCAACTTCTTTAACACAGGCCATGTCGAAGTATGTATTCCAGGATAAAAAGTTGTTAGTTCTGGCAAGTTTGCAAGTTGAAGGAATTCTATCCGTGGAAATATAACTGTAGGAGGTGCTTCTACTCCTTCTTTGGCAACAATCTCCTTCAACTCCATACAATACCTTATCTCAAGGTGTTGCAAATGCTCAAAGTTTTTAACCATAGAAGATGGAAATACATATTTCAGTTTTCCAATGACCTTGATGATCAAGCGTGTCAAATTTCGATAGCAATCAGATATTGGCGGAAGTTGACTGTCCCTTATCATTTGGGAATTGATTGCTTCCAGTTCTAAAGCCTCCAAATTCGGGAAAACAACCTGCACTCAAAGTTAATGGTTTCAACATTTTCTCAACTGATCAAGTAAAAGAAGTAACAAATGTTTCTCATAAATATATGTATTCCATCTTTTATTAATTTGAGTGACATGCTAGCCTCTTCAACTCGTACGGATATGTTTTCTTCAAAATCTGCATTCAAAACTCCAGTCCACTTAACAAACAAAAGACAATTGTTTTTCCTTTATTTACATATCTGCAATTAGTTTTTGTCATGCATATTCATTTGCACAATAAAACTTTTATCTGATAACACGTATTTCTTCTACTTGTACAGTTGTACTAGAAGAGATTGTTTACTTCACTCAGAAAATATTGCATACACTTAAACTTATTTTTATTTACAGAATTATAATTTATATTTTAGAAAAAAATTATTTACAAATATTTGCTTTCATCTCTCTTTGTTGAAGTAAAGAAATTAGAAACCAATGACTGTGACACAAATCATAGCTCATATGTATGCTCTAAAATATGGAAAAAGAACAGTAGCCTGAAAAGTGATAATTTTGTAAATAAAAGCATTCTTGTAAGACAAACATGTAGTTATGGAACGCATTTGCATCCAACAGAAATTTAGTTAATAACCTAATAACAATGAATGAATTTCATATGCAAATATAGACAAGAGGTTTTAATTTGCTCAAGTTGATTTGAAATTGATTAGCTAATTCAAACCAAAATGTTAAAAGCAAAAACTGTCTCTTGCACTACTTTTTTTATTTTTTTTTAATTATTAAACAAAGAAGACGGACCATACCTTGCATTGTGAAGTGGATACTTGTAGTTTGTCACAACTATGCACCTGTAACTTCTTTAACTTGGGCCATTTTGAAGTGTGTATTCCAGGGTAAAAGGAAGTTAGTTCTGGCAAGTTTCCAAGTTGAAGGAATTCTACCCGTGGAAATATAAATGCAGGAGATGCTTCTACTCTTTCTTTGGTAACAATCTCCTTCAACTCCTTACAAGACCTTATCTCAAGGTGTTGGAGCTGCTTAAAGTTTTTAACCATAGAAGATGGAAATAGATATTTCAGTTTTCCAATGTCACGAATGATCAAGCGTGTCAAATTGTGATAGCAATCAGACATTGGCGGAAGTTGACTGTCCCATATCATTTGAGAATTGATTGCTTCCAGTTCTAAATCCTTCAAATTTGGAAAAACAACCTGCATCCAAAGTTAATTGTTTCAATATATTCTCAACTGATTAAGTAAAAGTTGTTTCTCATAAATATATGCATTCCATCTTTTATTAATTTGAGCGACAGGCTAGCCTCTTCAACTTATAAGAGTATGTTTTCTCCAAAATCTGCGTTCCAAATTCCGATTCACTCAACAAACAAGACAATTGTTTTTCCTTTATTTACATATCTGCCATTAGTTTTTGTCATGCATATTGATTTTCACAACAAACACGTATTTCTTCTACTCGTACTAGAAGAGATTGTTAATTTCACTCAGACAATATTGCATACACTTACACTTATTTTTATTTATAGAATTATTATTTATATTTTAGAAAAAATTAATTTATTCAGTCTCAAAAAGAATTTTAAAATTTTTTATCAAATATATTTTAATTTTCTTGGACGGTGCGACATTATTCCTGCTAAATTTATTTTACAAATGAGAAAAAATCAATTACCCACCCTACTATTTCCCAAAAACCCCCCAACTTTTCGATCAAGCTTCACAATTTTAATCAACTTTCCCCAAACTTTTCAGAAATCCATCAAGTTACCCCCAAATTAGAGATGACATTAACTGATCTATTAACTGTTGAGCTAAGAACGAAGTAAGAGTCCATTAGGCCCTTTTTTTGTCCCTTTTCGGGCTTGCTGAATAACATTTTTACACCCTAACTTTATCAAATTTACATTTGTCACCCTTAATATAAAAAATATGAATTTCTTACAAATATGAAATACCATGTCAGAAATACCATATTTGCCCTTTGACTTTAAAAAATTTATAAAGGCGGCTGAAAAATCCGTAAAATTAAATATATATTGTGAAAACTAAAAAAAAAAAATCTAGAAAGAAAAGAAAATCTAAAACATTAAAAGAAAATCTAAAAAGTATATAAAAGTTAGAGAGAAATAGAAAACCAAAAATTTGAAATATTGAAAAATTAAAAAAAAAATTAATTAACAAAGAAACTAAAATCTGAAAACTTTAAAAAAAATCTGGAAATTCAAAAACTATATTGCAAGTATAAATTAAAAATAAAGAAATTATAAAAACTATATATAAAAAAAAAAAAAAACCCTTGCAGGATGGACACCTTGGCCATATGTGGTTCGTCTTGAATCACACTAGGCCAAGTACGATTCAAGCCAGATTGCATCTGACTTGGTGCGATCTAGGTCGAATCACACTTGGGTAGGCGTAATTTGGCTAGAATGGCACTAGGCCAGGTGCGATTCCGGCCAATTTTTTTTTAATTATTTTTTACAAAACTTTACATTTTTTTAATTTTCGGAAGTTCTTATATTTTTTCCCAATTTTTCTTTTTTCTTTTTTTTTCTATTTTTTGGAAATTATTATATTCAGATTATTTAATCTCAATTTTTTTTTTAATTTTCAACTTTTATAATTTATCTCTGAAATTTGTAGATTTTCTATTTTTATTTTGGAAGTTTGATTTATTTATTTTCCAAATTTCAGTTTTTTTTATTTTCCAAAAATTATATGTTTTCTTTCATTTTTCATATTTCATAAGTTATTTTGTTTTTTTTAATTTTTGGGATTTAATATGGGTGTAATGTTGTGTGTTTTCGAAACCAAGGGTGTAAAGTTAGGTATCCATCCAACCTATAAACTAATAAAAGGACAAAAAAGGTATAGTGGGCTTTTTCTGCCTTCTTGACACAAGAATTAACTTATTTATTAACACCATCTATGAAATGGGGGTAACTTGATGGATTCACGAAAAGTATGGGGGCAAGTTGACTAAAATGGTGAAGCTAGAATGAAAAGTGGCTTTTTATAATACGTAGGNACATTATTCCTGCTAAATTTATTTTACAAATGAGAAAAAATCAATTACCCACCCTACTATTTCCCAAAAACCCCCCAACTTTTCGATCAAGCTTCACAATTTTAATCAACTTTCCCCAAACTTTTCAGAAATCCATCAAGTTACCCCCAAATTAGAGATGACATTAACTGATCTATTAACTGTTGAGCTAAGAACGAAGTAAGAGTCCATTAGGCCCTTTTTTTGTCCCTTTTCGGGCTTGCTGAATAACATTTTTACACCCTAACTTTATCAAATTTACATTTGTCACCCTTAATATAAAAAATATGGGGTGCGTTTGGTTTATTATTTTGGATAGGATTTTGGGGATAGTATTGAATAGTTGGATAGGGGAGTATTACGAGATAAAATTTAAAAATTTATGAAAAAGCCCCCAAGGTTTGCTAATTTAATAAACACCCTAATATATTAAAATATTGTAAAATGACAAAAACACCCTGTAGTGTCAAATTCCGGCCACCATCGTCGGAATCTGGTCAAAAAATTGGATAACCACACATACCGGTCGGATCTGGAGGGTATTCGATTGATATGGCATTTTCTGGCCATATCCACCAAGAATCTGGCCGGAAAAGGCCAGATCTAAGGTCGGATGTGGCCTTCGACGGTCGAAAAGGCCATCTTTGGCTGTCGTTGTCTATCAACGATGGCCAAGATTTGGCCGTTGTTGACAATCAACGACGGCCATTTCTTTGGCCGTCGCTGACGGCCAGATCTGGCCTTTTCCGGCCAGATCCACCACGGATCTGGCCGAAAAAGACCAAATCTGGCCATTACCGGCCATTTCTGGTGGTCGTGTGACTGCTGTGATAGATTCCGACTACCACCGGCGGTGGTTGCCAGAATCTGGAAAGTATTGGTGGTAGGGGTGTTTTTGTTAGTTTTTAAACTTTTTTCTGGGGGGTATTTAATGAAATTAATAAATTTATGGGGTGTAAAAGTAATTAAAAAAGTTAGATTAATATTTTGGGAATAACGTGCCAAACAACATTTGAAGAATATGATTGGGAATATAGATAAAAACAATAAGCCAAACGCACCCATGAATTTCTTACAAATATGAAATACCATATTTGCCCTTTGACTTTAAAGAAATTATCAAGAAGGCTAAAAAATACGTAAAATTAAATAAATACTGTGAAAATTAAAAAAAAAACTACAAAAAAAGGAAAATCTTAAACATTAAAAGAAAATCTAAAAAGTTTATAAAAGTTAGAGAGAATTAGAAATCTAAAAATTTGAAATATTGAAAAATTAATTAACAAAGAAACTAAAATCTGAAAACTTAAAAAAAATCTGGAAATTCAAAAACTATTTTGCAAGTATAAATTAAAAATAAAGAAATTCTAAAAACTATAAAAAAGATAAGGAAAAAAAAAAAAAAAAAGCTTGCTGGAATCATACTTATTAACACCATCTGTGAAATGGGGGTAACTTGGGGGGAGGTTGACTCAAATCGTGAAGCTTGAACGAACAGTGGCTTTTTGGAAAACGCAGGGTAGGTAATTGATTGTTTCTCATTTCCAATATTTGCTTTCATCTGTCTCTTTGTTGAAGTAAAGAAACTATAACACGAACTTTTTTATTTCTAATATTAAAGAAAAGCATTCTTGTAAGACAAACTTATAATTATGGAACACATTTACATCAGATAGAGAGTTAATTGATTGCCTGATAACAGTAGATGTAATTCATATGTAAATTTAGACAAGATGTTTTAAATTGGAATTAAACACGTGTAAGTTGAAGAGGTTACCTATTGTCTCTTGCACTAACTTTTTTATTTCTAATATTAAAGAAAGAAAGACCCATACCTTATATTGTGAAGTGAATATGTGTAGTTTGTCACACCTATACACCCAACTTCTTTAACTTGGGCCATTCTGAAGTGTGTGTTCCAGGTGTAAAAGTTGTAAGTTCTGGCAAGTTTCCAAGTTGAAGGAATTCTACCGTGGAAAGATAAATGTAGGAGGTGTTCTACTCCTCTTCTTGGGAATAATCTCCTTTAGTTCGTCACAATTGCTTATCCAAGGTGTTGGAGCTGCTCAAAGTTTTAACCATAGATGATGGAAAAACATATTTCAGTTTTCCAAAGTCCTGTGATCAAAGCGTGCAAATGTTGATAGCAATCAGACATTGGCGGAAGTTGGCTGTCCATATCATTTGAGAATTGATTGCTTCAGTTCTAAAGCCTCCAAGTTCGGGAAAAACGCACTCATATATGAAGTAATAAAGCAAATATTAATTCTCATTTTTATATGAAGACATGCATTAATGTTAAAACTCTCTCTTTGTCTCTGAATGTTTTAATCACAGAAATTATTAAGGATTATTGAGGATCTATTCCCTCCTTAGCATTGCATTATTAAACGTAATCAATACACAAACTTTGAATACCAAAACAGTTGCTAAAACTAGAATCAGGCATCAAGAAGTCCATTTGATAAAACTACGTACTACACAGGCACACAAATTGTATATTCAAATAGCTTTAAACTAAACATCAAAAGAATGATCTAGGAATGAGATTTAACTATAAATTTGAATGACTAGATTATTGATGCTGAAAGATAACTATAACACACGTTATATATATATAGATGCAGTTTACTTATGTTATTTTAAGTAGTAGAAGAGACTTTCTCTCTCTCTCTCTCTCGACTTCTTTTCAATGAGGAACTTGTTTCTTATACATGTAACAAAGAGAAGCAGCATTAGAAAAGATATAAAACTAATAAATGAACACATTGTTATGGTCAAACAAACCTTTTCGCTAAAAAGTGGCATGAGTGGTATCTTGGACTGCAAATTGATGTCAATTCCTGCTGTCTTGTTGCAATGTTGGAGATGTCTTAGTCTGAGTAGAAACTTGCAAGGCTTTTAAGAGAATCAAGAGTCAGGAATCGTAGTACGCTGAACTTGATCTCGTGATCAATTTCTTCATTGTTGTTCACATTGTTTTCTCTTCAACAGCAAAAATTCTTCAATTCTGGCAATTTCCACCTTAATTCTTTGAAGTTTGGAAGGCTTCTGCTAGCATGGAGAATGAAAAGATATTTTCCAATTTAGCACAACTTTCCACTCAATGAATTTTAAGTGTAGAAAGACTTTGTTGTGGGTTCACCTAACATATCTTTCCAACTGAATCAAATAAAAAAGAATCAGGGACTCCAAGATAGGGAAGGCAGGGAAAGAATCAAGAGATATGCACTTCGTAGAATCAACTATGTGCAAAAGGTTAGGATTATTATGGACATGGAGTTGTTTAGTTGTGAAAAACCCTCCTTGTCTAATCATAAAGATCACCTTGAACGTTTAGTCTGTCTAAGCATAAGAATTCAACATTCTTGAAGCGCTGCAATTCATCTGTCCAATGAAAGAATTGAGCTTAGTCTTAACGTTCTCAAAGTCTCAGCTCATTCAACATAAGCTGTCAATTCTCATTGAACGACCATGATCACCATTATGTATCGGGATTATATGCAGACCACTTAGGTCCTATCGATATTTTATACCTTTCAAGATTTGTGGAGAAACAGCTTTTGGCAAAATCTTCATCTATCATATCTATTTCTAAAGTGGTGAGGTGAGGCAAATGTTTCAACTATCAAGACTAGCACTCTTCTTTTCAACACTGAGTCCTTCAATCTGCCATAAAACATTGCATCCACTATATACAGTTCTTCCAATGACTCAAACTTGATATCACATTGGAGCAATAATTTTTAACTGCCAACAGTCGTCAAATCTAACAACCTTAGCTGAGTCAATTTACCTATTTCTTCGGGCAATTGCTTGATAGCAGAATGTCTCAAGATAGGATTTTAGTCTCTTCAACTCTCCAATAACAACAACGTCTTGAATGTTGCTGTTGTCCAAACTCAATGTTTGAAGGTTTGTTAGGAGACCAAGTGATGAGGGCAATAATGAAACCCAGATAAATTTAAAACTTTCGACTTTGGTAGACCCGTAAAAATTTTCAGGGATTTTGAAAGAAGAACCCTTTCATTATATAGAAAAATTCAAGACTGGACAATCTAAACCTTAGGCCATTGCTCACTAATAACTTTACTAATAGCCAAAGAGATTTTTGTGCATTTTAAGTTATCTTATTCGTCCATCCTTTCCAACATCATTTCCCTCCGTAAATACATGTTCTTCTTTACATGCAATTATTAAGGCAACAATACGAACAATCATGCATAGAAAATCGTTCATTGGTAGAACTGTCAAGTAACAAACACAGTCTTTGAGGTCACCGACGAGTTTATCTACTCTATTTCGTGCGTTCCATTGTAAGGTTAACCCTTCAAGTACTCCAAACCCATAACATATTTCAACAAGTCTAGATGGAAGAATTATTTACCATTAGACTCAATTAGAAAAATTTTTCAGCTCGCACTTTAAATAATAGTAACTCAAAGCTATCTTTGAATATTCCTTTCCAGCAATCCTGTGAAATTTAACGGGGAAGGCTTTCTTAGTTTGCAAGGCATCGTCCCAATCAGTCGACGTCTCTTGTTCTTAATGCGCGCTTGGTAGTAATGACAATTGGCAAACTCTACTTCCTTGCAGACATCATTGGGTAGAGAGTTCAGCTATTTTTCGATCACAACATCACCTGCAAAGGAACCCAAACTACATGTCAAAGGGCAAAGGTATATTTTCATTATGTAGAGTAATTTAAAATCCTTTTAGAATTTTAGGAAATTATTTTTAGTAATATTTGGTGGTCTGTTAGTAACATTTTGGTCCCTATAAGTTGTATAACTTTGACTACCTGCCATCTTCCGAAACAGATCCAGGCTTCTTCTTCATTTAAAATACCCAATGAGAAATACTTCAGAATCCTTCTTGATAATACGTAACATCTCTTGCCGTCATCAACAATTTACATCCCACGATCAGCTCCAGATGGAATTCCGACAGTCTCCAAGCTTAGATTTTTCCATATATTATCTAAAATTACAAGAATCTTCTATCCTTCTTCAATCTTGCATACAACTTGCTTGCTCTTTCAACCCCCTGATCAAAATTCAGACCGAACTGGTTTGCAAGTTCATCTTGAATCTTGTTAGTGTCTGGATTCTCAGATACCTCTGTGAAAACGACCTCGTCAAATAGCTGCTGCTTCTTGGCTTGCTTACCCACTTCTTTCACCAGCGTGGTCTTACCAATACCACCCATCCCATAAACCCCAACAATCCCCACCTCACCATCATCTAATGCCTTCAATACATCTTTCAAAGTTGACATTCTGGATTCAAATTCCTCGTAGTCTTTGTTAGTAAGGCGTATGTTTTCATAAGTACTGACAGGAAGGGAAACTTCACCGAGTGTTTCTTTTTCCTGCAGGAGTTCAGTTAAAACCTTCGCCTTTTTCGATGCTTTCCTGCTATTTTTGTAACGGGTGATCAAGTTGAAGCATTTGTTGTTTGCTTTCTCTCCAATCAACTTCCCTGCTTCATCAATGATGGAATCCGCTTCCTTCTGCCAATCCTTAACACTCTGTTTGATCTTTTCCACATTGTTTTCAGCAGCATCAACCTTAAGCTTAACTTCATCTCTTGCATCCTTGAGCCTCCCAACATCTTTCTCGAGTTTGCTAAAGTTGGTCTTGTAGCTGTACAAGTACATAAATGGACGCCCAAAGCACTTGCCAACATCGATAACAGCACTCACAACACCCGCGACAGTAGCGACTATTTCGGCCATTTTCAGAACAAACAATAAGGCTAAATCAAAACAGAGAAAACTAAAGGACAACAAGGGAGCCAAAACAGGAAAAAAAATAGTGACGCAACGAGATCACAAAGCGAAGTGTTTCTTTCAAGGAGTATAAATTCAAACAGTGGATATAGAAACAGATTACAAGATATGAAGTAATTTCAATTTTCAAGCAAATAAACGAATGATCTGGTATCGGATTTTGTTTGGAGAGAAAAAGAGAGAGAGGAGAGATTTAGAAGAACAAAAACCAAAAGGTAAATACGATAAATCAAATATTAATTGATTGAACTGTTTCTTTCTTTTATTTTTTGACGAAGAAGAAGAACAAGAAGAAAGATTTGGTAAATATCAAAAAATAATACTACACTTACAAAGTCATCATGATATGATATATCACTTTGTATGTATATGTATCTTCGTATAAAGACTTTACAAATGTAGTATCGCTCAATATCAAAAGTTGAAGTCTTCTTAAGTAAGCTGAAAAGACAAAACATTGGAAGCAACAAGGCACTATCATGCAATGTTTTAAAACCTAACCCGGGGGCAAAGTTGTCAAGTCAAATTGATAAAAACTTTTAAAATTCAGTAAATACACGCCTAACTTTAAGTCCTTATAGGTTTAAAATTTAGCAAACATACCCTAAATACAAATCAGCCGATGACTAGTTAGCGGCGACGACACCCCAGATGTAACCCCAATCGTCTTTTGAGCCCATTCCCCTTAAAATACACCCAAGATCTGGCAGAAATAGGTTCGATTTTGACTAGATCTCACCAACGTTAGCGTCGGCATTCCAAGCCAGATCTCATCGATGCTGGCGTCGACAACCCTCCCCATCACCCAGAAATGACTCCCCTCTTCCTCCCGACTAAAACCCACCTTACCCCACTCCAATTAGCCTCGCCAATCACTGGCAAAAGCTGTTGCCAGTTTTGTTTGATTTTCGGTCGATTTACTCACCGGAAATCAACTCTGTCACCACCATTGCATTCACCGTCACTTTCTCTTCAAAAGCACCAACATCCAGCCATCAATTGTCCTCCAATCATCCTCCCAAATCCTAGGGTTTTGGATGAATAGGAAAAATATAAACCCGACCCGTTGAAGCTTTTGGGTCCTGATTGAACCGGTTAAATCGACCGGGCCGACTGGGTTTTAAAACATTGCTATCATGAACAATTTAATGATAGAAGCTAGGTCCACCAATGCTCTATCTTTTTCTTTACTCTTGCTGGAAAAGCTTCAACGTTACAGACAGCTCATATGCTGTGCAGCTGTTTAACATAAATATATTAATATATAAAAACAGCAATTTCATTTATATATTCAACTTCAGAATAAACATTAATAAAATTATCTTATTTTAGGCCGCGATACTAACGTTTCATTTTTGTTGGAAGAAAAATATAAATTAAATCACCAATTTCAGATCAAATCAAATCATTTTGTGATGCAAACAGAATGGTAAAGAATAAAGAGAGAATGAAGTTAAAAAAAGACATAAAACAATATAAATTAAAGAGGATAGGAAAAGAACTTCAAGATTGAATTATAAGTATTTTGTTAGAAAGGAAAAGTCACTACTCGAATAACTTTTGCAGACAATAAAGGACACTAAGATGCCTCTAAAGTCTAAGCGCATCGAATGAAGTTGCTCTTTTCCTTCTCCTCAAGTTTCAGACAGTTGATGCTGATTAATTAATATTCATTTCTTCTCTCAAAAGAAAATCAATATTAAAGATAAAGCAATGCTTTTAGTGGGTCTGTGGGTTCCTTATGGTTTTGGAGCATTTCACCCAACAGTTAATATTCTTAGCTTCAAATCATATATTTTTATTTTAATAAAATGCCAGATGAATTTCTTGAGATTCTTAACTTGTTCTTTTAGTCTTCTTCATTGAACAACCAAACATCAGGAAACTATTACAACAATGGAAACAAAGATTTCAACCATATATATTTTGGTCGTGTCTATTTTCCTATTTTCTAAAATATATTCATTTTTCATACTCATCTAATAGATATTGAAAGTTAAGGCATTAAATAAATTGACTCTTTTTTTAGTATAATTAAAATTACATTACTAATATGGGAAAGGAAATAGAAAAATCTTGGAAAATTTTAAGTTGTTATGTAAAGGAAATCAATTTGTTGTCTAATTGTTGTATGATTGTATGAAGGTCACTCTCTCAACACCTTTTATCTTTGCGGTCTCCGTCCTACTTCCTTTAATAAAAGACTCTAGAGAGTTTTCATCTTTGGTGTGTTTATTCACAGTTCATTCTTCTAAAAGATGGGAATTTGAAAAAGAAATTCCAAAAATAGAAGCATGTGAGACTTCCGAAATCTATCTGTGACTAAGGGTGTACAAAACCGGTTAACCATTTTATTTTAACTGAACTGGTTTTTCGGTTAGGGAATTTTCTCGAACCGAAACTGAATCAGTTTAGGAGAAAACCGGTTTTTCAGTTAACCGAAAAACCGGTTAACTGGTTGGTAAAAAACGGTTAACCAGTTTTAAACTGGTTTTCCCTTGAATTTATAAATTTTTTTTCCCTTAAACAAATACTTGTTGGAAAGCTTGACTAATCTGAAGAAGAAGAGTGATGAATCTGGTGAAGAAGAAGAGCGACGAAGCTGTTGCTGTCTTGCTGAGGTGAGAACAAAGAAAGACGAAGCTACTGCCGAAGGTGAGAAGGAAGAACGACAAAGTTGCTCTTTCTACCGGAGGAGAGAACAAAGAACGATGAACTAACGTGACGAAGAGACTACAGAGAATGACTGGATGTGGAGATGAGAATGACGCAAAGCTGCTCTTGCTCGCCTATAATGGTGTAATACTGTGGATTGTGGATGACTGAATGTTCTAGTGTCAGATTTTGTTTGGAGAGAGAGAGATTTATGGATGAGCGTCCCTATTAGATGGACGCCCATCCATTGTTTAAATTAAAAAAAAAATTAAAAACAAAAGCAATGGATGGGCGTCCCTCTTAGATGGATGCCCGCCCATTTCTGTTCATCAAATAAGGACTCTACTCTACAACAGAATCTCCTCTTTCCTGCAATGTTCCTTCTATTTTCTTCTTCTAAACTCCTATTTCTATTTACTTTCAAATACAAACACAAAGTAAATAGAAGTTCATCACTTGAACTGCATACATCAATGCAATCAAAGGGTCTGCCATCTGCAATAAAAAATAAAGTAAAGAAATAGGTGTCATGCATACATCAATGTAGTCAAGGGGTTCACCATCTGCAATAAAAAATAAATTAAAGAAACAGGTGCCATGAAGGTTCATAGACTTTGGCAAGATGAATTAGATTACTTTTTTTTTTAATCGAAACAATAGATAGGGACGCCCGTCCATAATATATGGATGGGTGTCCATGATTTTGTTATCAATTTTTTTTAATTTAAACCATGGACGGGCGTCGTTATAGGTGGATTCCCATTCATAGTAAATGGACTCTCGTCCATATAATATGGATGGGAGTCCATTTCAAACGAACAACCGTCTAATAAAAATAGACGACCGTCCATATTTGATGAACAACCGTTCATTCGCGAGATATTACTTAACATATGGCTCGTCTGACTCAGGTGACACGTCGTTCGGTTTAATATTTTAGTACAAAATGTCAATGTTGGTAGCATTATTTATAAAAAAATCTTGGAAAATTTTAAGTTGTTATGTAAAGGAAATCAATTTGTTGTATGGTTGTACGAAGGTCACTCTCCCAACACCTTTTATCCCTCTGGTCTCCTACTTCCTTTAATATTGGTGTGCTTAATAAGACTCTAGAGAGTTTTCATCTTTGGTGCGTGTAATCACAATTCATTCTTCTGAAACTTGATGGTACCACACAATTGTTTATGCTACTAGTATTATAACTTCTAAAAATACTATTTTCAACAACTGATTTTTAGTTATAAATTGTTAAGATCGTAGAAAATTGTGATTTTGTTTAAAAACAAAAAATTTTCATCTTCTTTACGACAGGATAATAGGATATTAGAATTCTATCGTTCTTTCACTTTTGGATGAACTGCCTGGACATTTATGACCTAATGCGTAATATAAAGATATCAAACCACACAACAAATTATAACTTGAAAATTATTTACAAGATTGAACAATTTGAAACAATATACTTGTTAATTGTTATTATATTCCGCTATATATTGTTGATATAACGACTTTGTTTCAAGACACTTTTTGAAGAACATATGACAGACAACACTTGACAAGATGAATTGACTCTTGCCAACATGTATGCAGAAATTCCAATATGTATAAGCTTCTTTCATACATTAAATAACTCACCCATCTACTTACTAACATCTCAAGAGGAATATTACGTAATTGTATCCATCAAAGCAATATTTGACCATTTCCGCACATAGGAAATCAAATAACCCCGCAGATTTCCACAAGTACAACACAAAATTTTGTCAACACTAGAAATATTTCGACAATTTCTAGGTAAGACCACCAAAGTTACAAAGCAGAAGATGGACATTTTCTTTGTGATTACCTAAGGTAAAAATGTATTACCTAAAACCTCAATTTCTTTGTGTTTTGGACCGGACACATTTCTGTTGTTCAAGCACTTTTGGAAGTGTTGCCTGGAAGTTTCTGACCTACCTGCAATGTAGCGATGTCAAACCACTCAACGGTCCACATTAATATTCCTTGCAAAAATTTGTCTTTGTATGCCCCTCCTTGTATTTCTCTTTGTAAGGCTAACATTTCTCTTTTATGTATAATACATGAAACAAAATTAAAACCACCTTAACATATTCAACTAATTCTATGTTTAAGGTAATCCACCCCCTTTCAGTGAAATTAATTTCTTAATGAATATTATGTTACATGTCCAAAGGAAATATTAAATTTGATTTTATATAGTTTATGTTAAAGGTGGGGTTAAGAAGCTTAGAATTGTGGATCATCATATCTACAATTTTGATTTTCTCAAT